TTTTTGTGACAAGCTCAGCACACCCTGGGGGCTGGGCTGGTGCAGCATGTGGTACCAGGAATTGAACCACAGTCCCTGCGATTGCTTAAGCAGGCACTTTAGACAGCTGAGCTATCTCACTGGCCCCTCAGCCTCTAAATCAAGGACTACAGACCACAAGGATTTGTGGGCAAAGTGTTTTTGTTGATCATTTCCTGCATACTTTTGCATGATGGGGGTTGGGATTTTGGTTAGGCTCCAACTTTTCTCCAACATACTAATGAAGCTTAAAAATCAAGTGAAACCTTGTTCACAAATGAAAGTTTCTCATCCTATGAAATTGCTTGTCTGGTTGTGAAAAGGGGTAGTCAACTTTAGTGTTTTTAATATGTACATTTCTGTTTTCACTTTTTAATTTATTGTGCCATTTTAAAATTAAATCACTTTAAAAACAAATAACCAAGTGTGTGGAATTAAAGCTAACAGTATTTATTGTTTGTCAACAGATTTCAACACTAAACTTGCACAATGTCTTTGAAACCAAGAGTAGTAGATTTCGATGAAACGTGGAACAAACTCCTAACTACAATCAAAGCAGTCGTCATGTTGGAATATGTTGAGAGAACGACATGGAATGATCGTTTTTCGTATCCTTTTGTGGCATTTTGATAAATGTTATGAAATTGACAAGGGTAGTGAAAAGTGAGAATTTGTTTAAATTTATTGAAACTGGAGGACTTCCTATGTCAGCATTTTCAAATATATTATTTACATTTCCATGTTCATCCTTCCTTGTGATAACTAATTTTATAACCTTTTATTTCATACTTATTTAGCACTTAACTGTATGTTCCAATCAAGTACTAGCTAGTTGACCCTGCTTAGCTTCTGTGATTAGACAAGATTGGGCACATTCAGGGTGGTATGGTGATAAACTGAGCACTTGATATATCTTTCAGGGATAACTTTAGGCTTTGGGAATAGAGTTGTGATTTAAACCAGCTCTTATTATAGTGAGAGAAACAGACAGTTATCGCATTGTAAAAAGTCTAATGTCAGTGTCTCCTAACAATAGGCAGAGATAGTGTGTTGTGAACTGCAGGGACAGGATTGGAGAAGACATGGAGTGCTTGTATGCAGGGGGGCCCTTTAGATAAGGTGGTTTTAGAGCATCTGAGAATGATGACACTTGGGTGCAGACTTCAGCAAAGTGAGTGAGCAGGCAACCTGGATATCTGGGGTAAAAGTGTTTGTGTGCCTTCTACACTATAGCAAAGTAGTTGAAACTTCTAAGTAGGAAGAGTTTGTTTTGCCAAAGTTGCCTCCGGGCCTCTGTTGGGGCAGCACATCAGAGTAAGAGCTGGTGGGCTCAGGGTGGCTAGGAGCTAGAGAAGCAGGAGCTGGGATCCAAGGATCCCTTCAGGGCACAGCCACATGACCTAACTTCTTTCCCGAGGCACTTCATGTCCCCCAAGGGTTCTACCACATCCTCATAGTGCCATAAGTAAGGGCCCAAGCCCTTAGCACTTGGGTTGGGGGCACACCTGCAAGTAATAGGATGTTCTAGGTGGAGGTGGAATAACAAGTTCAGTAATTGAGATGGAAACATATTTTGCTTCTCAGTTCTGGTGATGGAACCCAAGGCCTTTCTACTGAGCTACATTTCCCACTCTTAATTTATTTTTTATTTTTTAAAGAAAGTCTGTTGCCCAGGCTGGGCTCCACTTTTGAACTTTGTTGAGCATTTCCCAGCCGTGTGCCATGGTGCCTAGCTGGAACCTTTTTTTTTTTAATTTTTAAT